CTAAGATACATTACCAAAGTTTTCAAACATAATAAATAACCAATACCTAGGGCTAGATTCAGCACTGCTATAACGCTTAGACTTTGCGGGAGTTACACTAGTAGGTCATAAAGCAGTGAGCTTTTTTCCCCTTTGTTTGTACAGTGCCTAGCACCGTGGGGTCCTGGGACGTGACTGGGCTCCTAGGCACTACAATAATATTTTTAAGGTTTCAGTGTTCCTTAGGAGGTAGTGCAGAGAGGGGAAGGACTGATTTGCACATATGGATAGGTCTAGAGGCCAAGACACTTGGGATCTCTCTCTTCCTGTGCTGCAAACGCTTGGGCAAATCACCTAATTGTATCTGACCTTGAATAAAAATGTAATTGCTGTGCCTCGGTTTCCCCTCTTGTATAGCTGATGATAGTTCCCTTCCGCCCAGAATGGGTACAAGTTTCATTTCACTATTCTGTGTGTAAGATAGAGAGAAAAAACAAAGAGTTATTGTTTTTATTATTAATATTATCCTTATATTGCCAAATGTCACTCCCCAGCCTGTCTGCATGTAGGGGAAGAAAGCCTGGTTTAGTTCTTCAGGGTGATTCTTTAATGTACGACTAATGAGCCTGTGCAGAGTCCAATCTTCTCCTCTCTGTTCGCAGAGGACAAAGTGGATGTGGGGAACCTGGACTCCGTGCTGGCCAACATGGGGATCCATTTAACCCAGGAGGCGCTGAAGCACAGCCCTGTTGACAGTGAGCATGTCCACTCCCACTCTGGCTCTGTTTGTGCAGCCAGAAATCTTGTCAGCGCCCTGTTGTGTGGGGCGAGGCCTCTTGCTGCCCATGTGGGGGTGGGCAGAGTCGGCTCCCTCCTGCTACTGCCTCGGCAAGCCAAAGGTGCTAACCCCATCCTCCCCTCACCTCAGCCAACCTTCCCCCTTAGACCCAGAGGCTGCTCTCACTTGCACCCAGCTCTGATGGCCTCCAGGGGGCAGCGGGGAACAACTGAAGCTCTCAGGTTCCCGGGCCACAACCGTTCCTCTCCAGCTATTCCACCCTATGCCCTCTATGTAGGGGGCTACAAAGGGGGTGGCATAGAGCCATTACCCCATGTGGCAATTCCCTCTGCCCGCAGGGATTGCCGGGGAGCTGGAAGCTGGCCTTGTGATGTAAAGCAGGAGGAACAGAGCCCAGAATCCCAGCCCCCGCTCGCTCTGCTGCTTCCCTGTGCATGGCCGTGTCCGGCCCTTGCCTCTGAGTGGTGCTTTCCTTCGCAGGAGACGGGACAGTCGACCTGAGGGCGTTTATGAAGAGCGTGATGAGTACGCGGAGACCGTCCCAGGCCGAAAGTAAGTGAGAACAGACGTGCTCTTCGCATTCGTTGCTGACGTGGCCTTACCTGGACCATTGGAGAGCAGCATCGAGTCACTCTCTATTAGGGTGACCAGATGAGATGAAGAAAATATGGGGACACATGGGGGGGGGAGCAAAAAAAAAAGAGCGAAATATCGGGACAAATTAGTGGGTGCTCTGCACCCACCAGCAGCCAAGCTCCGCTCCCCCTGCCGCCCCACCTCTTCCTCCCCCCGTGAGTGTGCATGTCCCTGCTCCTCCACCTACCTCTCAGTGCTTCCCCCCTGGCCACCGCCAGCACGCTCCGGGAGGAGGGGGAGGAGAGGGAACGTGGTGCTCAGGGGAGGAGGCGGGGCTGGGGCGGGGATTTGGGGAAGGGACTGGAATAGGGGTAGGGAGGGGGCGGAGTTGGGGCGGGGACTATGGGGAAGGGGTTGGAATGGGGGTGGGGAAGAGGTGGGGCAGGGGCAGGGCCTCATGGAAGGGGTACGGTGGGGGCAGGGCTGGGGGCAGAGGGGGCGTCAAGCACCCAGGGAAAAGAGGGGAAATTGGCGCCTATGGTCACTACGCTGACAGGAGAGCTCTCTCCCATTGACTTAAAGCATCTTCATTAAAGTGCTCCAGCGGCGCAACTGTGCCGACACAGCGTGTTCAGTGTAGACCTGTCCTCAGTCACCTAGCGTGACCATGGTGCACATTAAAAGCCTTCGGTGTTGAATGCGACTCTGCTCCCATTGGCTTCCCCGGGCACCGCGTTAGGCCATTGCTGAGCGCTTTGCTTTTCAAGACCCCACCCTCCAAGGTCAGGCCAAGGTTTTCAGAACGGCCTGCCCCAAGGGAGGCAGCTGGGCCCAGATTTTCAAGAGTGCTTAGTGCCCACGAGAGGGCCGCAATTTCCACTGAGCCCTGCTCCTGTCTGAGCCTCTGAAGGGCGTGGCCTGATTGCCAGAAGTGCTCAGCACTGTCCCTGGAATTGAACAGAAGGTGGTGGTTTGGCTCTTTTAAAAAATTAGGCCGCTGATTTAGGTTCCTCCATATGGCCCAGCTCCTCAACGCTACGTATGCCCAGAGCTCCCATTGAAGTCAAAGGGAGTTAGACACCTACATTTTACCTTTGAGGATCTGGACCTTTGGGCCCCCTTCAGGCCCCTTCTTGTGAAAATACTGGCCCCAGTTTTAATGATTTTGCACTTAGGAAAACCCTCCGAATTCCTCTTGAAGGAATGCAGTCCAGGGGGGTGGACCCCTGACTCTACAGATGGGAGGGTGAGCTCCTCATGTCAGTCAGGCTTGTCGGATCCCCAGACCACTGGCTTCCGCTCAGCTCCAGCACGCTTGGAGTCACACATTTCAGAAGACCTGGGATCAATTCCCTACTCGGCCCCAGACTCCCGGTGAGATCTTGGACAAGGCACTTAGGGACAGATTTTTAAAGGTAGTTAGTCATCTAAAGAAGTAGATAGGCACCTAGTAACCGTTTTTTAAAAATTGAAAATCCCACGAGGCCCCGGTGCACATCTGTAGGCCCCTAAATGCCTTTTAAAAATCTGGCCCTTTTAAAAAAAAATTAAAAAATCAACCTCAGTTTCCCCATCTGTAAAATGAGGATAATAGCACTGCCCTGTCTCTTTAATGTTGTGAGGATAAATACAGTAAAGATGGTGAGGTGCTCCAATAATCACTTTAGATCAACATGCCTGAACAAGAACCTCACTTCCCGATATACCCAAAGGGTCGAGCTCGCCCATGAGCAGAGGGCTTGCGCCATATAAGCTGGAGGTCTTTTGTGGCACTGAAATGGCATTTATACTGGCTCTCTTCTCTGCCCGGGGTGAATTTCACCAGTGCCTTCAGCACCATCAGCAAAAGCCAAAAGGATCCTTCACTTAATATATTGCACTTCATTATTCAAATGTAGCAAACCACCAGCTCACGGGGGTGTGAATTCTGCTCTCAGTGTCTACACCCACACTGGCGTCACTGAGAGCAGAATTTGGCCCAAGATGAGTGGGTGGGTTGGGTGCTGGGGTGCAGTTACACTGGTGTTACACCATTTTAACTCTGTTGGGCCAGATCCATTGAACTCGGTGGAGCTATACTGGTTGATGGGATCTGGCTCCAGTAGAGAGACTTCTGATTTGCACCAGTGTCTGTGAGAGGAGGATTTGGCCCCAGTGGCCTTAATTGAGATTTTTTACATCTCAAAGAGGTGACGTCAAAAGGTCTAAGGGGACTCTGCTGTTTCAAATTATGGGTAAGATTCTGAATGGTTGTCATAGCTACAAGAAAGCAAACAGTAAAACCCCTAATCCTTCTATCTACTTAAAGGGGACAGAGTTGATCCTCGTCACCTGGACTCCATCCTGGCCCACATGGGGATCTACTTAACCCATGAGGAGCTGCAGGAGGCACTGAAATTTGTGACGGTGGATGGTGAGTCTTTCAGGTCTCCCTGTGCTCCGTGGTAGCGTTCGCGTCGGTGCCAGAAAACTGGGCGAATGCCTGAGCCACATTTTCCCTTACAGCCGATGGGAAGGTGAATTTGAGCCAATTCATGCGAGGAGTGAGTGCTGCCCAGCCAATGACCCAAAGACCTGGTGAGCAAGAGCTTTATTAAAGAGTCTCAGAGGGGTAGCCGTGTTAGTCTGTATAGTAAAAGCAACGAGGAGTCCTTGTGGCGCCTTAGAGACTAACAAATATATTTGGGCATAAGCTTTTGTGGGCTATAACCCACTTCATCAGATGCATGGAGTGGAAAATACAGTAGGCAGGTATAAATACACAGCACATGAAAAGATGGGAGTTGCCTTATTGAGTGGGGGGTCAGTGCTAACGAGGCCAATTCAATTAAGGTGGATGTGGCCCATTTCCAACAGTAGACAAGAAGGGGTGAATATCAACCGAGGGGAAATTACTTTTTGTAGTGACCCAGCCACTCCCAGTCTTTATTCAGGCCTAATTTGATGGTGTCAAGTTTGCAAATTAATTCCAGTTCTGCAGTTTCTCGTTGAAGTCTGTTTTTGAAGGGTTTTGTTGAAGAATGGCCACTTTTAAGTCTGTTATTGAGTGTCCAGGGAGATTGAAGTGCTCTCCTATTGGTTTTTGAATGTTACAATTCTTGATGTCTGATTTGTGTCCATTTATTCTTTTGCGTAGAGACTGTCCGGTTTGGCCAATGTACATGGCAGAGGGGCATTGCTGGCATATGATGGCATATATCACTTTGGTAGATGTGCAGGTGAACGAGCCCCTGATGGTGTGGCTGATGTGGTTAGGTCCTATGATGGTGTCCCTTGAATAGATATGCAGACAGAGTTGGTAATGCGGTTTGTTGCAGGGATTGGTTCCTGGGATAGTGTTTCTGTTGTGTGGTGTGTGTAGTTGCAGGTGAGTATTTGCTTCAGGTTGGGGGGCTGTCTGTAAGCGAGGACTGGCCTGTCTCCCAAGGTCTGTGAGAGTGAGGGATCATCCTTCAGGATAGGTTGTAGATCCTTGATGATGCGCTGGAGAGGTTTTAGTTGGGGGCTGTAGGTGACGGCTAGTGGCGTTCTGTTACTTTCTTTGTTGGGCCTGTCCTGGAGTAGGTGACTTCTGGGTACCCTTCGGACTCTGTCTGCTGCTACGCTCCCTGATCACCGTTCCATCGCTCTCCGGCAGTTCCCCATAGTGACGTGCTTAGAGATGGTAACGTGTGGGTAGAGGTTGGTGTCTCTTGAATGGCTTCTGCTGTCTGTCTCTCAGGCATGCCGTAAAACAGGCAGAAAGCCTCTCTGGTTCACAAGTGTTGCTGGGGGTTACGGATTGTCTGGGCACATGGTGTGGTGAGGTCATAATCACATGGTCTAATGCCCATGGCTGAGCCGGGTTGGGGGCCGGTGAGTTGAATGAAGCCTGTGGCGATTACTACTTCCTGGGCATCCCGAAGTTGATTGTGCTTCGTTAACCATCGTTTAACCTTTTTTACGCTACCTCTTGCACAACAATGGGGACTTGAGACACTAGTCAGTCAGGGTGGGGCAGTACCGAGGCCATATTTCAGGTGTGTCATGGCAGGTTTAGCTGCTTGGCAGAAGCCCCAGTGAGATCGGTATCTCATGGGGGGGAAGTCAAGGCTCTGGAGAGCTCGGAGTACCTCATGATTCTGGATGCAAGTCACAGAGCTGATGGCCCCGATCCATGAGGTGAGGTAGCTGGGAAAGAACAGGGAAACTAGCTCTTAGTCCCCCCACCCCTTATCTAGCCCCATTGCCCGTAAAATCTGAGCACCTCCCAGGCATTAATATATTTTCTCTCATGACCCCCCCCTCGTGAGGGAGGAGAGTGCCATTATCCCCATTGTACAGATGGGGAAATGGAGGCACAAAGCAGCTAAGTGCTTGCATAGCAGCGCATCACTCAGGGGTTCCTTCCTGCGTCTGTATAGTGGCCTTCCTCTTGCCACCCTCCTCCTTAAAGCGGTCTCCGGTCCCAAGCTCTGGGATCAAAGGAAGTTTAAAGTAGGAGGGAGGAGAAGAGCCTCTGACCCACTCTCCGCATGTTTGTCTTACACCCCAGAGAAACCTCAGACGACCTTTGGCCCCATCTCTGAGACCAATATGACTCTGAAATCCCTGCCGAAGAAGATGATGTTGAAACCCCTGCCAAAAAAGACCAGCGGGTGAGTGTGGAGGCGTCCGGGCTGCCATCACCATGGATTGCCAGGTCCTCTGAGCAGGATCCCTGCCTTCACTCCTGCCAGTAAAACACCCAGCACGCTTGATGCAGTAATCAGCATTAATTACCCTTTTTTCCAGCTGAAGGAGCTGGCTCCGTTGGACTCGCCCGTGCCCCCCTGTGGCTGTAATACCGTGTGTGTGTAACTGAGTTTCTGTCTTTCTTTTTCTTCTTGTTTTCATCGAAAATATAAACACATAACGAAACAAAACATATATAAATACACGCACCAGATAGAAATAATCTCTCAGGAACAAAATTTAACCTTCATTATTTGCAAAACCTGGCGGGGGCGGGGAACCCTGAACTCATACAGGTCATGCAGGGCATCAGTTAGTAAAGTGACTAATTAGATAAATGAGAACATAACCTATGAGTAACAGGAACTAATATATACTCAACTGCAAAAGTATGCAATCATTTCATGTGTGACCAGACAGCCTCATACTTTTCCGAAGTGTTTCTATTAGATAGAGTCATTTTTTCCATTAATGCAGTAGGAGGGAGGTCACTAAGCCAGTCTGTAAATAAAGGAGGAATTGCAGATTTCCATTTCTCAAAATTAACTCCTTTTGGGCACTACAATAGTGACTGCAATCCACTTCTTACTGGTAACACCAACTCATTCATCATCCCTCAAATACACAGGCTTGGAGAAGGAAAGAGAGCATGTAAAGTTTTTGAGAGAGCACTAAATATGGAGTTCCAGAACATGTGCATTTCTGGACAGGTATAGAAGATGTGCGAAAGGTTGGCACGTGGCTGTTTGCATATCCAGTATTCGCTGTGCGTTGCCTTAAACACATGTTCTGGAGTCCAGTCGCGCCTGTTTAATATCTTGTTCCGGAAGAATCACAAGGATAAAGAACTTGAAGTATCTTGCGCATTAATACAGATAGCCTTTATTCTCACAACGGAAACCTAGGAGGATACATTCGTTTTCCCATTTTCCTTTGAGACTGAGATTGAGAGGGTACCGCAAAGCATTAAGCCATCTAAGTAATTCCTACAAAATGACTTTTGTTTCCATATTTCTTAACATCCTCTTCTAGAGGTGAAAGAGTTGAAAAGGACCAATTGTCCCCTATTCTGGCATGAATCCTTGAGCACAGCTGCTGAAAGAAGAACCTGTGAAACAGTAAAAGCGGATATTTGTTACATATTTAATCGAAGGAGGCCAGTCTATCATCTTGTGTTATATCTTTAATTTTGGTTAATCCTTTTTCTATCCAAATTGTCTTAAGCATGGAGTTGGCCTTGATCCTGATGCACGGGTTATCCCATAGTGGTACGAGAAGAGAATTAGTAAGCTCGGATGCTGTGATCATCTTAGTGCGTTGCAGGATGCTCCATGTAGATGCAAAGATTGGACTTTTCCCTAAGGATGTGGGTAGCCTCTTAAGGTATATAAAAGAAGAGAGGGAACCAAATGGCACAGCTAAGCTTTTTTCTATCTCAAACCAGGCCGGTGTGTATGCAGAGCATATATAATAGGACGCATTTGGAATGCTAGATAATATAGATACAGATCTGGCAACCCCATACCTCCAGTTGCCCGGTATTTTTAAGGGTCTTGTGTGACAAGTGAGGCTGGTTTTTATCTTGTATAAATTGCATGATAAGCCTATTTATTTGAGCAAAGAGTGAGGGAGAGACCTTGAAAGGCAACAGGCTAATGATATACAATCAATATATGGCAGATATTCATTCTGGCTATATCTATTTTCCCCAGTAAGGATATAGGGAGGAGACGCCACCTCTCTACATCCTTGGACAGTTGTTTTTATATGTAGTCCATATTTATAGAAACAATTTGGGGAAGATTAGGACAAAACACCTAAATAAGTTATTTCCTTGCATCTTGGAAATGGAAAATGCTGAGACTGAGAAGGATCTGGTCTTTTGGATACATTCGTTGCTTGTGATTTATTCCAGTGAATGCAAAAAACAGAGGTCTCCAGAAATGTAAGCTACACTCTATAATGATGAGATTAATGAGGATGGATTCGTCAATAGTACAAAAATGTCATCAGCATATAAACTGATTTTGTATTCTTTTCTGTTTATAATCACACCTTCAGTGACTGCGGACACATGTACATTGCCTGCCAGTGGCTCAAGAGAGAGATAAAAAAGGAGAGGCAAGAGGGGACAGCCCTGTTGTGTCCCTCTTTCTAGCTGAAATATGGGAGAAATAATTCCATTCGTCGATGGTGCAGCGAGGGGAGAGTTGTATAATACACTCAGCCAATTCAGGAATATTGATCCAAATCCGATTTTTTTAGGACAGCCATTAGATGAGGCCATTCAACCCTATCAAAGGCCTTCTCTGCATCTAGAGATAGGGCTATGGAGGGAACATCTGACAACTGAGCTTGCTGGATCAAGTGAGCAATTTTTCTCATATTCTCAGCAGCCAGTCTTCCTTTCAGGAAACTACCCTGATCTGCGTGTGTAATTGATGGGATGTGGCTGCTAAAATTGTTGCAATTAGTTTGCAATCTGTGTTGAATAGAGATATGGGACGGAAGTTGACACTGTTGTGACCATCTTTGTTCTTCTTTAATATGAAAGTAATTAAAGCAGTTTTCGTGTTCTGAAACATGGTTCTCTTTTGGAATGTTTCAGTGAAGACCTTTGAAAGAATAGAAGAGAGCTGATTACAGAATGTTTTGTAGAAATCTGCCAGAAAGGCAGCCATCCATCCCAGGGGCCTTGCTGGAGTTCATGTTTTTTGTAGCCTGTTCAGTTTCTGGTGTTGAGAAAGCTTTGCCCATAAACAACACTTGTTCTGAAGTTAGGGTATTAAAAGGCAGGTCTTCAATTAAATGATCTAATTGATTAGAGTCAGATTGGTTGTCTGATTTATATAAAGCTTGATAGAATTGCTTACATTGATTATTTATATCTGTTGGTTCCAGGATGGCCCTCCCGTCTTCTTGTAATAAGGAAGAAATGTTGTTGGCTAGTTCCATCTTAAATCTTCTGGCAAGTGGCTTACCTGCATTATCTCCCCAATCATAATACCTTTGTTTTACCCTGTTGAGTGTACATTTGAACTTGGCTGGATAAGCATTCATTATATTTATATTTGGCATTGATAATGTAGGAGGTTTTCATTATTTGGGTCCGTCTTGTGTGTTTTCTCCAACTCAACTATTTCCTTGGCCGAAAAGTCTAGTAACTTGAGTCCTTCTCTCTTCTTTTGGGAGGCCTACCTTATGCATTCACCCCTTCCAGCAGCTTTCAGAGCTTCCCAAAAGACGTATCTGAGGTAACTGAATGCTTATTTTCTTGTATGAAGTGAGAGATGACACAATCAGCTGTGCAATTAAATTTTGCATCTTTTAGTAGCAGTGTGTTCAGCTTCCAGCGAAGACTTTAATGAGGTGTAACCAGCATCTATGGTAAGTATAATTGGAGCCTGATCTGAAATTATCAATAGTGCTTCCAGGCATGCTGGAATCAGTTCTGAAGACACAAGAAAAATTCAATTCTAGAGTACGAAGAATGTACTGCAGATAAATACGTATATTCATGCTCCTTGGAGTGTCTTAGTCTCCATACACTTTTTAAATCAAGTTCATTCATTAGTAACGAGGGTTGCCCATTGTGCTTCGAGTGCTGTGTCTCACGTAATTGGATTTGTCCAGACATCTGTCTAGCATAGTATTCCAATTGCCTCCCAGTATTACAGGAGTGTCTTTCTTATTAGAAAGAATGTCTGCAATGTCTTTGAAAAATTCAGAATTACCTCCACTTGGATTGCAAATGCTTCCTAGAATAAACTTTTTTGAGTTGAAACATCTTCAGGAAGAACATTTCTTTCTTCAGGATCAAACCAAGACTGTATACATTGAAAAGTTAATACTATTATGAATTAAGATGGATGTGCTTCTGCTCTTAGAATTCAGTGATGAATGATACTCAAAACCTACCCACATCTTCTTGATTCTATTGGCATCTATTTCTGCTAGATGCGTTTCCTGCAATAAAGCTACCTGGCACTTTTTTGATCCGAGATGTCACAGGATTTTATTTCTTTTGGAAAGTGGATTAAGTCCCCTCACATTCCAGGAGCACGCGCTAAGAAAATTCATGGCAAAATTTAAAAGATATATTAAGATATAAAACCTGATTCTAAAGATACATATTTCCCCATTGATATTGTAAAACCATATCTCCAGGATAAGGTCTATATTTATACATATTAGACACTAGTTAGTTTTAAATTAATTTATGCCTTCAATTGAGCCTCTAAGGCTTGGTCTACACTAAACCCCCAAATCGAACTAAGGTACGCAACTTCACCTACGTGAATAACGTAGCTGAAGTTCGAAGTACCTTAGTTCGAACTTACCTCGGTCCACACGCGGCAGGCAGGCTCCCCCGTCGACTCCGCGGTACTCCTCTCGTCTAGCTGGAGTACCGCAGTCGACGGCGATCACTTCCTGGTTCGACTTATCGCGTCCAGACAAGACGCGATAAGTCGAACCCAGAACTTCGATTCCCAGCCGCCGAACTAGCGGCTGGGTGTAGACATACCCTAAGTGTGTAAGGTATACAAAAAGATCTGTAGTTAACCATCATGTGTCTTACAAATATACTTTGGAACAGAAAACAACAAAAAGTAAGACTTAAAATAAGCCAGAATGGGCAAGTTCAGATCCTGATGGCTTCAGTTCTATCTCTCCTCCCCTCCCTATATTATCTAATAATATCCTAAACATCTCTAAATGCATATTTTAAGTCAAATCTTACCCTGTAAATATCATTGGGTATTCTAAGAACATGTATAATGTATTCCTACCTACAGAAGTTTTGATATATAGTTACGTATGCATATATATATACAGACTCATCATATGAAAATTTACAATTGGTTTGGTAAATCAAATACAAATGAGTACAAAATCTAAATATGAAAAATACAACATAAAAAAAGTTTCATATTCATAGTATGTCAAATGCCCTGCACAAATTGAATAACTAGTGCTATTTAAGGTTAGGTTATAGTCTGTTTTACATGTCGGGAATATTGACTGTTCCACAAGGGACTTGTGGTTCCCCTAACACGACCCATCAGAGGCAAAGCTGGTGAAGAGATTCTGTCTAGCAGTGCAAGTTGTGATGATTTGTGCAGATAATACTTCAGACAGTAGATGGTGCTATATCCCCCAGCTTAGTGTTAAATGGTTACTCTGTGCATTGCGTTGCTATACATTCGTTATTGCTCCGTTTTAAAGGCGACCAACTGAAGAGTTCAGCCTACCTGGTTATTTGCTAGGAATTGGAAGTTTGTGTAAGTGACTATTATCATGTCTACTGGGATACCTAGAAAAACAAACTGATTTTTAAACTTGTTGAGGTTTGCTTTGTACTGAATCCATGGGGAAGGTGAATGGGTACTGGATGCTGTATCCGATGTTGGTCCCCCTCAAGATTTGCTTTATGCCATTGAATGCAGCCCTCTTTTTGTTAAAGAAGTCAGGGAAAAGAGATTTTGTGGCCTTTGTACATAAGGTTTTTAGCTTTCCTAGCAGCATTCATTAACGTTAGTTTATCATTGAACTTCAGCGGCTTGAAGACGATGGGCTTGGGCTTGTCGGATTCCCACCGTCTAGTACCAGGCATTCGATGAGCCCTTTCAACGTCTAATGGGGGAAGCTGAGGGTGGATTTTAAATATGCCAGAGACCAGCTTCTGAAGAAAGCTGATAATATCCACCTTCTCCAGACCCTCAGCAATGCCCAACAGGTGAAGTTTGTTTCTTCAAGTTCTCTTTTCTAAGTCATCCTGGTTTTCTTCCAGTTTGTCTAGTCTAAGCTTTGAGGAGGCCATTTCTTCTTTAATTTCACTGGTTTCAAGGGCAGCCTTTGGCAGCTAATTTTCCAAGTGAGCCATTTGGGGATTTTGCATCACACACCTCTTTAGAGAGGCCACGGATATCTTTGGAGATTGAATCCAGGTGGCCCGTGAGGAATTCTTTCAGTGTCGCGATATCCTGGGCTAGGTTCTGCTGTGGCTGCTTGGGTGATGCAGGCTGAGGTCTTTTACTGCTTCTCATTTATTCATTGGGATCCATATTCAGCAGTTTGAAGTTTATCCAGGGGATTAATTTAACCTTTTATGGAAATTCCTCACAGATATCATGTGATCTTGGAATTTCATTCTTTCTAACGCTATAATTTGGCAAAACTGGGGCTCCCCAAATCAGCTACCTCCCCACCGGTGCTTTCTCCCCACTGCTTTCCAGGGGAGGAGAGGGAGCAAGCTCACAGGTGGGTGCCCAGCAGTGGCAGAGTTAAAGGTTAATGGCTTGGTTTTTCCCAGGAGCTGAGTACCCACATCTCCTGTGGGAGACTCAGTCCTTTGGGGAGCTCAGCCCGTAAATGCCAAAGTCGTTGTGCAGCCCTGAGGAAGTTGAGGGGATTGCATAAGAGGGCAGAATCAGACCCTAGAAGTGTCTCCGGAGTGACCCCACAGCATCTCAGTGGTGGTCACATCTGTGTACAACTGATGTGAGAGCAGAATCGGATAATAAACTCTTCTCTGTTAAATTAATGCAACCCCTCTGAAGTCAATAGGGTTGCACCAGTGTAGCTGAGAGAGACGTTTGGCCCCCTGCATCGAATCCATGCACTTAGCTGCTGTTCCATCAACAGGAGCTGCACATCTGCAGAGGAGTGTCGGTTTGCATCTTTTAATTGTCCTTCTTTCTTCTTGAATGTTGTATGGCAGGGAGTTATCTGGCATCCTCCTAGACAAGAATAAGTGCAAAGCAGCAAAGAACCTGACCAGGGACCAACTAGAAGGTAATGATGCCCCAGTTATCTGTCTTTCACCTTGAAAGGCAGGTTGACAAAAAGACTGTTCAAGGTTTATTCTTTAGCTTGTTAAATCCTTATTATTTCTACTGCAGTAGCAACTGCGGGGACGGCCCCCACCTGAGGTCAGGGCCCCCTTGTGCTGAGCACTGTACAGACCCAATCCCTGCCCCAAACACCTTACAATCGCAGCTGACCAGACAGACAAAGGAAGTAGGGCTGTCAAGCGATTAAAAAAATTCATTGCGATTATTCGTGTGATTTTAAAAAAGTAATTGCGATTAATTGCATGATTAATCGCACTGCTAAACAATAATAGAATACCATTTATTTAAATATTTTTGGATGGTTTCTACATTTTCAAATATATTGATTTCAATTACAACACAGAATACAAAGTGTACAGTGCTCATTTGGACTGTAAAAAAACAAAAGAAACAGTATTTTTCAATTCACCTCATACAAGTGCTGTAGTGCAATCTCTTTATCGTGAAAGTACAACTTAGAAATGTAGAATTATGTACAAAAAAACCCCTGCATTCAAAAATAAAACAATGTAAAACTTTAGAGCCTACAAGTCCACTCAGTCCTACTTCTTGTTCAGCCAATCGCTCAGACAAACAAGTTTGTTTACATTTGCAGGAGATAATGCTGCCCGCTAATTGTTTACAATGTCACCTGAAAGTGAGAACAGGCATTTGTATGGCACTGTTGTAGCCGGCGTTGCAAGATATTTACTTGCCAGATGCGCTAAAGATTCATATGTCTCTTCATGCTTCGACCACGATTCCAGGGGACATGTGTCCATGCTGATGACAGGTTCTGCTCGATAACGATCCAAAGCAGTGCGGACCAATGCATGTTCATTTTCATCATCTGAGTCAGATGCCACCAGCAGAAGATTGATTTTCTTTTTTGGTGTTTCGGGATCTGTAGTTTCCGCATCAGAGTGTTGCTCTTTTAAGACTTTTGAAAGCATGCTCCACACCTCGTCCCTCTCAGATTTTGGAAGGCACTTTAGATTCTTAAACCTTGGGTCGAGTGCTGTAGCTACCTTTAGAAATCTCACATTGGTGCCTTCTTTGCGTTTTGTCAAATCTGCAGTGGAAGTGTTTTTAAAATGAACAACATGTGCTGGGTCATCATCCGAGACTGCTATAACATGAAATATATGGCAGAATGCAGGTAAAACAGAGCAGGAGACCTACAATTCTCCCCCACGGAGTTCAGCCACAAATTTAATTAATGCATTATTTTTTTAACAAGTGTCATCAGCATGGAAGCATGTCCTCTGGAATGGTGGCCGAAGCATGAAGGGGCATACGAATGTTTAGCATATCTGGCACATAAATATCTTGCAATGCCGGCTACAAAAGTGCCATGCAAATGCCTGTTCACACTTTCAGGTGACATTGTAAATAAGAAGCGGGCAGCATTATCTCCTGTAAATGTAAACAAACTTGTTTGTCTGAGCGGTTGGCTGAACAAGAAGTAGGACTGAGTGGACTTGTAGACGCTAAAGTTTTCCATTGTTTTGTTTTTGAGTGCAGTTATGTAACAAAAAAAATCTACATTTGTAGATTGCAGAGATTGCACTGCAGTACTTGTATGAGGTGAATTGAAAAATACAATTTCTTTTGTTTGTCATTTTCCCAGTGCAGATATTTGTAATAAAAAAAAAAATAAAGTGAGCACTATATACTTTGTATTCTGTGTTGTAATTGAAATCAATATATTTGAAAATGTAGAAAAACATCCAAAAATATGTAATAAATTTCAATTGGTATTTCTATTGTTTAACAGAGCGATTAAAATGGCAATTAATTGTGATTAATTTTTTTAATTGCGGTTCCTTTTTTTGAGTTCATCGTGTGAGTTAACTGCGATTAATCGACAGCCCTAAAAGGAAGTGTCACTCCCTCTTTTGCAGATAGGGGACTAAGGCACAGAGGGAATAAGTGAATTCACACAGGAAACCTGTGGCAGAGCTAGGAGCGGAACCCAGGTCACACGAGTCCCATAACCACAAGATCCTCTTGCCTTTCCTCTGGTTCCATGATTCTCTTACCATATTGTTTCATTGACCAGGGAAGAATCTTTGTGTTGGCATAAAAAAAAAAGCGCTATGCATTATGCCCCTTGGTTTCCAAAGAGGGTAGTACATGAAGGTCGTACATCCCACCTGACGTAACTGGTGGTACTTTCCCTACGTGCCTACAGCTTTCCACCAGGCCTACAGTTTCTTCAGTAAGGACGCAGATGGCAGTATTGACCTACAAGGCTTGGAGATGACTGCAAAGAAGCTGGGGATTAGTTTAACCGAACAAGAGGCCTACGACGAGCTGTCATATGCTGATGTGGACGGTGAGTGTACACAATCATCCCAGGTTTAGTCCACAGTGGTACGTTCCAAGGGTCTGTGTTTGTGAGTGTGTGGCGTTGTGCTCCCTTGGTGCCATGCTACTTGCTGCCTGGCAGAGGTTTGTGCTAACTCCAGCCGGAGCAATGGAGTGCCTGGTCTGTTACGAAGTGAGAGACCAGCTCAGTGTGAAAGCAGGGTTCTTACAGGGGAAATGGGCAAAGTGGTGGGCGGAGGGGGGGGCAGCTGTGCATAGGGCTAGCTCCAGGATGGGCGAGGAGTGCACTAGGCTGGCAACATGCTGATCCAAAGGGGTAGGGGCCAAGGGGGGATGGGACTATGCCCCGCCTCCTCATCAGGCAGCACCGTGAAGGGCACCATGTGAATGGGTGATGGGAGAGGGATAGCTCAGTGGTTTGAGCATTGGCCTCCTAAACTCAGGGTTGTGAGTTCAATCCTTGAGGGGGCCATTTAGGGATCTGGGGCCAAAATCTGTCTGGGGATTGGTCCTGCTTTGAGCAGGGGGTTGGACTAGATGACCTCCTGAGGTCCCTTCCAACCCTGATATTCTATGAGTTTGCCCAGCAGCTGTGCCAGCCCTCTCAAGAGGAATCCTGGCTGAGTCCACAAGAATTCTTCCTTCGGCTGCCCTGACACTCTAAACAATTGGTGTACAGCAGACACCATTAGCACACATCTCTCGCACACACATGAGGAGCCCGGATTAGAACCCGAGTCTTTCTGTTCCCAGAACCGCCCCTCTGCAAGCCTCCAAAGCAAGTCCCTCTGTGATAACACTGACTCATACATACAAGACCCCTCCTCAGCCCTTTCCAATGCAGCCAGTGGCTTAAAGCCACATTTGGGCCCAAAATGTATTGGCCCCTTTGGTTGATCCGGGTTTCAAACTGGGATTCACTAAGGTTTTCTCCTCTTGTAGTTCTTCCCCCCTGCCCTCCCATGCACACAGGTCAGAAGCAGGCCAGCCATCACTAGGGCCCTACCAAATTCACAGTACATTTTGGTCAATTTCATGGGATTTTAAAAATTGTAAATTTCATAATTTCAGCTATTTAAATCTGAAATTTCACTGTGTTGTAATTGTAGGGCTCCTGACCCAAAAAGGAATTGTGTGTGTGGGGGGGTCGCAAAGTTATTGTAAGGGAGGTTGTGGTACTGCTACCCTTACTTCTGCGCTGCTGCTGGCCGCGCCGCTGCCTTCAGAGCTGGGCAGCTGGAGAGCGGCGGCTGCTGGCAGGAACCCAGCTCTGAAGGCAGATCTGCTACCAGCAGCAGCGCAGAAGTTAGGATGGCATGATATGATATTGCCACCCTTATTTCTGCGCTGCTGCCTGCAGAGTTGGGCCCTCAGTCGGCAGCTGCCACTCTCCGGCCGCCCAGCTCTGTAGGCAGCAGCACAGAAGTAAGGGTGGCAATACCACGAACCCCCTAAAATAACCTTGTGACCCCCCCGCAACTCCCTTTTGGGTCAGGACCCTCAATTTGAGAAACACTGGTCTCCGTGTGAAATCTGTATAGTATAGGGTAGAAGCACACACAAGACCAGATTTCACGGGGGGAGACCAGATTTCACGGTCCATGACACGTTTTTTGGTAGGGCCCTAGCTCTCACTCTCTGACACAGGCTCCCGTGAGCAGCATGGCCTCAGAACTTACACAGACCCATGCTGATGACAACCAGTGGAGTGGGGGAGGTATTATGCACTTGTCTAGCGTGGATCTTAGCAACAAAGCCCCTTCTCCGCCAGCACTAAGGGGAAGGCGGCTGTAGCCAACCTGGCCTGGAGTAGGCCCATTACTACCCTGTCCCTGGGGTGAAAGGCGCTTGATCAGTGGGAAATGCTGTTTACCTTGCAGGAGATGGGAAAGTGAACTTCTCTGATTTTCTGACCATTGTCAGCGACAACAAGCGCTTCATCCAGGCTGTAGGTGAGTGCGGTGAACCCAGCTCAGCCAATGGGATTGGCCACAGTCCCCCCAGCCATGTTAGTGTGTGGCCAGAGAACCCCACTTACCTAGAGGCATCGGTGTTACCTGAACCTTGGGGCGATCTGGAGTTCACGTGACGTGGACTCGGACATCAGCATCTGGGGTCCCCCCAAAGAATGAGCTCGCGCACAGCTGGGCCCCGTTCGAAACAGCTGTACAAAGCCTTGACAATCCAGCTCAGGGGGAGGAGGCCGCTGCTGAGCGCCAGGCTGAGGCCTGGGGGCACAGAGAAGAGTGCAAGCACTGGCACAGCTCCCCAAGGTAGCCTGGCTCATGGGCAGGAACCACCATGAAAGGGGAGTGATGACGGGGAGCCCAGGAACCATAGGGCATATAAGCGGCGTTCAGATAGCCAGGGTGAGGTCAATCAAAGCTGTGCTCCACATACTCAATCTGAGACTCTCTGCCTGGAACACCGGAACCAAATCTGCCTCTTCCAAAGCGGAGGGGGAGCAGCATTCTCTGGAGATACTATGCTTCCTTGGGCGATGGGAGAGGGCAGTGAGAAGTACCCCTTGCCCCAGTGCACCAGGCAGGAGACATACTCCCACACGTGTGTACACCATACTTTGCCCAGAGGAAACCTTGTTGGAGGTCACTGGCGCTGACTGCGGTCTCTGAAGCAGATGGGTTGGTGGGGTGGGCGCTCTGATTGACGTGCATCTCCTCCCCAGCCCCCGAGAAAGGCAGCCTGGAGGACTTTGATTCCATCGACGCCACGGGAATCCTGCTCTTTGAGGTCCTGTCAAAGCTGGTGGAAATGTCGGCTCTGCCCAGGAAGGCCCTGCTTGAAATAGTCAGGTGAGTGCTAAAAGCTCTAGCAAGGTCTCCAAAGAGGGGAAAGGAGATCTCCATTTCATAGGCTCGGCGGAGTCAAACAGCGGGCTCAGGGCCAGACTTACAAAGGTATTTAGGCACCTAAAAATGCAGATAGGCACCTAATGGGGTTAACAAAAGCATCTAAGTGAGTTAGGCCCTAACTTGATTGGAAGTCAATTGGAATTAGGCCTCTAACTCACTTAGTTAGGCGCCTAGTGGAATTTACAGTAGTGGTTATCTGCATCTTTCTGTACTTAAATACCTTTGTAAATCTGGCCCCAGTCCTTTAGGCACATAAGTGAGCAGTGTACCTGTGTAGACAAGGCCAGCCATATAAATGAGGACAAAACAGGGCCCTGTAGATATATTTCATACCTCCTCCCTCTGCCCCCTGGAGAACAAAAACACACCTGTTCTATCTGCCATATGGCACACACCAAAAAGCACATCCCTCTTCTCTACATAGCCCTTATGACCTTACCTCCAGATCACCGCATAAGCCTCCCAGCCTGTTTGCTTTCATCAAGCTGGAGCATTGTCTGCTGGCTCCTCCTTGGCAAGCTACACCCTTGCAGGGTATGAAAGACGAGGATGGCTGCAGGCTGTGTGAAGGAAATCTGTGGGTAGTGGGGGGCCGACCTCTGGGCTAAATCAGAATCGCCAACCTATCTTTAAAGGTGACCTACAAAGAAAAAGAGGTGCTGTGCTTTGCTTCCTTATGGTGAGTAGAGAAGGCCTGGAAAAGTTTTTGTCACCCTTAGGAGTACGGTTGTCAAGTCTTGCCTTTCCAGGTCTGGTTGGAGGACTTGGTGGTATGGGCTCAGAACTTTCTCTGCCCTTTATCAGCAGGGCGGGGAGCTGAATCCTTAAGACAGAGAGCCCTTCTCCCAAGTGTTTTAAGATGCTTTGAAAAACAAGGGCGCTAGAGTCGGTTACTTTTCCTCTCAATGAACCGTATCTTCCACCCAGGGGCGGCTCTATGTTTTTTGCCGCCCCAAGCACGGCAGTCAGGCGGCTTTTGGCAGCACGCCTGCAGGCGGTCCGCTGGTCACGCAGATTCGGCGGCATGCCTGCGGGAGGTCCTCCGGTCCCGCGCCTTCAGCGTCCCCACCGCCGAAGCCGCGGGACCAATGGGCCTCCCGCAGGCATGCCGCCAAAGGCTGCCTCATTGCCGCCATCACAGTGACCGGCAGGCCGCCCCCCGCGGCTTGCCGCCCCAGGCACGCGTTGCTTCGCTGGTGCCTGGAGCCGCCCCTGCTTCTACCATGAGCAGTCTTACTGAAATCAACAGGGTACAGTGCTATTCAGTGTGCACCAGGGTATCCCAATGGGATCCAAAGAGCATTAATCTATCTGAGTAGAAATCCTTTCCTTCTCACAGTGAATCAGGATTCAGTTTCTGGATATTGCAGGTACCATAATCCAACCAGTTCTCTAGCTGTCCACAGAGTCTCCAAGGAGACATAAGAGCTGAATTTATGCTAAAGTTTAAAAAAAAAATTAAAAATAGGGAAAAAAAACCTTTCAAATCCTCCCCAGCCTCCTCTATGCAACATAAAGCAGGAAAAGGACACAAGCTCCATTCCCCTCCCCGCTTTGCTAGCCCCCGTTAAAGAAGGTGAAAAAGGCTGTTTGCTGGTTATAGCTGTCCTGGGTGTAGAGTGTTTGGTGACACTGCGCCATCTTTCGTCTTCTAGTTACTACCGGCAGAAGTTCCTGGCGTCCACTGGCAGGAGGGCCTGGATAGATGCTGGAAGCTTAAAGGACCATGGGAAGGGGCTCCACACGCTCCGAAAAGCCCCAACTCCTCAGAGAGGCAGAGTCACTCCTATGTCTGCCTTTGCAGGTGCTGCCCGCATCTCAGTGATGAATGACAAAGAGCTGGAAGCCTACGTGGAAACCCTCAGGGGTAAGAACTGCACGTGGCAGTTGTGTGTCTGAGTGGGAATTTCAGTGGAGGTGCCAAAGAGGCAGAAGGCCCATTTGGGGGTCACAGCTATTCACTGCAGCATCCTGTGTCCATTGCCAGTAAGGAGAAGTCCTCTCTCCCTACCAGACTTTTGAGCTTTGGATCAGGGCCGAGGTTAGCAAATCTTTTTTGCTACCTGCACCCACCCACTGCTTGGACTCCTCAAAGACATGAGTGATAGGAGGAAGCATAATCTTGTAGTGAAAGTGCAAGACGCCTGGGTTCTCTTCCCAGCTGTGCCACAGACTCATTGGGTGATCTTGGGCAAATCACTTCAGATTTATAGAAGTGGCCACTGATTTGGGATGCCTCCAAGCCAGGACTAGAACCCAGATTTGCCAGTTCCAGATCACTTATTTGAGTAATCAAATGGGGAGGATGGTACTCTTCCAGGCTCCACCCACAAAATAAGCTCCACCCCTGTGAATCACCAGACTGACACCTTTCAAATGATCAAAATATGATCATCTGTTCTCTGAGCTGCACTGGGCACCTTGAACTTAGTTCTTCCCTCAGTGGGGCTTAAATATACCTCTGGGCTCTGATAGGCTCTTTAGATTTGCTTCTTTCTTGATTGGTTAAAAAAGAAAAAGGAGTCATCTCTCCCAGATGCCACCCATTGATGGCACCAAAATGGGAAGTCACTCACAGTAAATTGTGTAGATCTCCTTTCTTTCATGAGGAATGAAATAGTTGACACATATATTATCAGCACGGTCACCATGTAGAATAAATATAAAAGGGGAGAATTAAAGTTAGCTTAAGGTTGGTTAAAGAAATATGGGTTGTAAAGAAAGGCCTTGAAAGTAAAGAGTTATAAGGCCCGAAGGAATGAAGTAGGGACGGCGTCTGGCTCAAAGAATAACTAATGAGATAAGGGGAAGTTTCTAAAAAGGCTTCTGACCAGTACGGGTGACTGGTTTTAAATAAGACAAAAAGGATCTGTTTTAAAAAGAGCCAACATGGCCCTTCCCACCCCACATACCAGTGTTATCTCAAAAAACAGGGCCTATGTTAACCCAGGTACAAAGGAAAAACTGTGTCAGCAAGAAGGAGGGGAAGAGATAAGGAGGAAAGGCCTTGGGGAGAAAGGAGGTTGTAATCTTATCTGGATTCAGACTGGAAATAAGGGTGAACTGTCTCCAGTTGGCTTTTACCTGAAGTCAGTAATTGGCAATGACATCACTCGTTTTTTAAAGGGTATAAAAAAGGTAAACTCTTCAAGGGTTCATTGCTAATACCTGCCTGACCACATTGGAGCAAACCAAGATGGGTCTAAGCACCCTTGGGTGTTAGCCCATTTGTAAGTATCTTGATCAAATGCTTATAAATGTTTTGTTACATTCGGATGTAGTAAATTGCTTATTATTTAGGCTTTGTAGGCATGTTTAGAGCAATTGTATAAGTACCTTTTGGCCTCTGGATTTAATAAAGCAATTTATGATTAAATTAGTGTCATGATAATATCCTGCGTAAATAATAATCCCAACACACAAGGGAACCTTAAATAACTTGGTGGCTGCTCGGTGTATAATAGCTCATGGGCTACCAAGGAGTCCATCTCTAGTTCTTAGGACCTATGGCTAAGACTTTCAAAGGTGGCCTCTCATTTTGGATGTCTCCGTTTATGGTTTCCCAACTTTAGACACTTGTGGGTTGATTATTCTGAGGTGCTGAGCACCCACAACTCTTTGCCTACAGCTGGAATAGTGGGGGCTCAACACTTCTGAAAATTAGGTACTAGATCTGTAAAGTTGGGCACCCAAAATCAGAGGCTACTGGCCCATATTTTCCATGTGTTTTACGGAAAGTACGGTACAAAAAAAGGAGGAAAAGTGAATAGGGGAGATCTCAGAATGTGTAGTCCTGCCTTGTTGGATTGGTCATAGAATGGGAGAGCCAAGGGCTAGAAAACAGATGGTGGGTACTGTGTCCAATTAGTGATATCCATTCTTTTCTTTTCCCCTTTGCTAGCAAGCAGTGTCCCCTCCGACAGTCCTTATGCTCAGGTACCCATCTTCCCATTGCTTCCCAACCGGGATGGAATGACAATACCGAAGCCAAAAAAAGACTTGCAGAAGCTGGAGATGCAGAGAAGGAAAGAGCCTATATCGTCGTTTGAAAACCATTTTTTCCATAAAAGAAACTGGCTGCGCGAGGCAAGATAAGGAAACAGTTAATCTATGTAATAACAGATGACACACAAGGGCGGGTCTGAGTTATTCTGCTGTAGATTCTTCCCCATTGAAATGTGTGGGGTTAGCACACATCCCTTCAACACTTACATTCCCTTGGACTCAATGGGTCAAATTCAGTGATGTCAACGGGGTGTGACTCTGCGTAAGCCTGGAGTCGTCTAAGGTGATGTAATATACACATTGAGGGTGACGGAAGGAAGTGTAAATTACACAAACTTAACTTCCTTTTAGATCTTTTTAGACTCATCTCTGAATGTGGCCACCGGAAAATTGTTCCCAGAAATGTTCTTGAAATGAATCTATGAATGCTGCATCGTTTAACCTGCAGTTGGTGCAGCTGGCATACTGTGGCTGTATATATGTTCGAGATTACATAAAGTGGGGAATTCTGGTGGTTTGTATACCTGGCATTCACCAGAGGTAAAGTGGATAGAATAGCTCTCCCCTTTGCAGCCCAGAAAGCCCAATACCTCTGGGTGACTATTCCAGGTAAGACAGGGATACACTTTTACAGGGAAGCAAATAGCCTTGATTTCTCTTAAACATATTAGGCTGGCTGAAAAGGGTGTGGGTTTGATTCCTGTCCTAAAAGCTTTGAGACAGGAGATTCTGGCTGAATTCCCCCATGTTCCCAGCTGCCACAGATTTAAAGAATATATGATAACATGATAGCCTGATGGATTGTCTTGGTGGGATGATTAAAGGAATGAACCCTACCATGAATGCAGCAGAAGAGACCAGCCAGCTGTCCGTCCCACAAAACAGCCTTGGTCTCTCACTTCCCAATCTCAAGATATGACCAAGTGACCCAGATCACACAAGACACTTAATGAGGGTGTCTACTTTCTCTGTTGTCCTCCACAACACACACCCTGAGATGTGTGGACACCTGATGGGAAATCATGGTTGTGCGTGACAACACTGAAAGATCTTTTCCGAGCAGCAGGCTGTGCTTCCTCCTCTTGGGGACAGTCCTGGAGCATAACAGTACTGAAAGTAGATAGGCCAAACCCTGCTCTTGTATATTGCAGTGTAAATCTAGACTAGTAACTTCATTGACTTCAATGGAGTGAGTCTGGATTTACACCGGTGTAACTGAGAGCAGAATTTTGCCTTGTACATATACTCTGGTAGCCTTCCATTGCTGAGCGAGGGCTAATCAGATCTCACGCTTCAGCCTGACTGCTGCAGGAAGGGATTTCCCCAAACGTGCGACACTAAACAACTAGCCAGGTGCATTAGAGAGGGGTTTGTTGTCCCTGAAAGCAGTAGGTCACAGCCACTGCCTGAGGCAAGAGGCCTGTCTTGATGGACCATTGGTAAAGCCTCTCTTTCTGTCTTTTTCAATCAGGCAACTGCGTTCAAACCTCCTGATTACTTCAGAGACCGGAAAACCTCCCTTAGTCTCGGCCCTCACTTGATGGAGAGGCGACATCGTTTGACTATAGAAGACTTGCATGAGATACGACTAGATGTGAGTACAAAGTCTACCACCCCTTCCAAAGAATTCCGCCCTCCTTTGTCTCTGGTATTTTAGGAGATAACCAATTTGACACTCCATCAGATCCTCGCCAATCAAACACACTCTTCTTCCAAGGACTGGCTGGCTCACGGCATTAGGAATGGGGTATGGCAGTGTTTCCCAAACTTGGGA